GAAGTATTTATAAGAATGTTGTAATACGGTTACCCCTCCCCCATCCTTTATGCTATAATTGTCATATATATTACATCTACATACATTATAAACCCCATAACACGGTGCTATAATTTTTACTTGGAATGGTAATGTTAAAGAAATCAAGAGGAAGAACTAGTCTTTGGTATTTATCTATATGTTTACCATTTCTGATGCTTTTTATTACTGAGACCCAAGTAATATGTGGCATTACTTTCCTTCAGCCCGAAGAAACTCTTTTAGCATTTCTTGTAGTGTGTGTCTGCTGGTGACAATTTTGCCTTCATTATTAAAGGGTATTTTTGTTGGGTATGGAATTCTGGGTGGGCAGTTGTGGAGATTCTGGACTCTGTAAGTTTCCCTCTTAGAGTATTATTTTATTTTAGCAGGCAGTTAACTTTGCTGAACTCACCTTTGCAAACTCTGTCTTTCCAATGGTGAGCAGCAGCTGAGATCTCAGTTCTGTTATTTTTGCTTTAGTAAAAGGAGTTGGGAACCTGTCTGCATGTGCATAGTTTAGGGGTCAGCCAGAGACTTGGGCAGAGTTTATACACAGAATTTGGAGTCTCCTCCTTTGTGGTTCTCTCCTTTCTGGGAACTATATAAACAGTCAATAAATAGATCCACATATACATGGTCAGCTGGCTTGCAACAGAGGTGCAAAGACAAATTAGTGGAGAAAAGATAACCTTTTCAGCAAATGGTGCTGGAACAATCAGTTTTTTAATGCAAAAAAACAGAAAACTTTGATTCGTATCTTGCAGCAGATACAAAAATTAACTCAAAGTGGATCATAGACTTAAATGTAAAATATTAAACTATAAAATATGTAAAAAAGACCATAGGAGATCATCTCTGTGACCTTGGGTTAATCAAAGATTTCTCAGCTACAACACTAAAAGCATGATCCATAAAAGAAAAAAATTGATAAATTGGACTTCCTCAAATTAAAAACATCTGCTCTTTACAAAACACTATTAAGAACACAAAAAGGTAAGTCATAGACCGGGAGAAAATCCAGGCATACCTCAAAGATAATTGCAGGTTTGGTTCCAGACCACTGCAGTAAAGCAAATTTCACAATAAAGCAAGTCACACAAATTTTGGGGTTTCCCAGGGCATATAAAAGTGATGTTTACACCATACTGTAGTCCATTACGTGTGCAATGCCTAAAAAACAATTTATGTATCTTAATTAAAAATACTGCTAAAAAATACTAACCATCATCTGAGTCTTCAGTGAGTTGTAATCTTTTTGCTGGTGGAGGGTCTTGCCTCAGTGTTCGTGGCTGCTGACTGATCAGGATGGGGGTGGCTGTGGCAATTTCTTAAAATAAGGCAACAGTGAAGTTTGCTGCGTCAAATTACTCTTCCTTTCATGAACAATTTCTCTATAGCACGCATTGCTGTTTGATAACATTTTACTCAGGAAAACTTTCAAAATTGGATTCATATCTCTCAAATCCTGCCACTGCTTTACCAACTAAGTTTACGTAAATAAAGTAAATTTTTTGTTGTAATTTCGACTGTTTTCACAGCATCATCACCAGGATTAAATTCCATCTCAAGAAACCATTCAAAAGAAGCAACTCCTTTATGATGAGATTGCAGCAATTCAGTCACATCTTCAGGCTCCACTTCCAGTTCTAGTTCTCTTGCTCTTTGCACCACATCTGCAGTTTCCTCTTCTGCTGAAGTCTCGAACCCCTCAAAGTCATCTAAGAGTGCTGGAATCAACTTCTTCCACATTCCTTTTAATGTTGATGCTTTGACTTCTCATGAATCGCAAATGTTCTTAATGGCATCTAGAATGGTGAATCCTTTCCAGGAGGTTTTCGATTTACTTTTTGTCCAGATCCATTGAAAGAATCACTGTGTATGGCAGTTATAGACTGACATGTTATTTCTTAAATAGTAAGACTTGAAAGTTGAAATTACTTCTTGATCCATGGGCTGCAGAATGGATGTTGTTTTTGTAAATCTCCATGAGAGCTCTGAGGTGACCCAGGTACCCTGTCAATGAGCAGTAATATTTTGAAAGGAATCTTTTTCTGAGCAGTAGGTCTCAACAGTGGGCTTAAAATATTCAATAAACCGTGTTGTAAATAGATTACTATGATCTAGGCCTTTTTGTTCCATTTATAGGGCACAGGCAGAGTAGATTTAGCATCGTTCTTAAGGGCCCTAGGATTTTCAGAGTAGTGAATGAGCACCGGCTTCAACTTAAAGTCACCAGCTGCATTAGTCCCTAACAAGAGAGTCAGCCTGTCCTTTGAAGCTTTGAAGCCAGGAGTTTGACTTATTCTCTCTGGCTATGAAAGTGTCTAGCTATGAAAGTATCCTCCCAATATAAGGCTGTTTTGTCTACACTGAAAATCTGTTATTCATTGTAGCCACTTTCATTAATTGTCCTAGCTATAGATCTTCTGGGTAACTTGCTACAGCTTTTCTACATCAGCACTTGCTGCTTCACCTTGCAGCTTTATGTTGTGGAGACGGCTTCTTTCCGTAAATCTCATGAACCAACCTCTGCTAGCATCAAACTTTTCTTCTGCAGCCTCCTCACCTCTCGTAGCCTTCATAGAATTAAAGAGAGTTAGGGCCTTGCTCTGGCTTAGTCTCTGGCTTAAAGAAATGTTGTGACTGGTTTGATCTTCTATCCAGACCACTAAAACTTTTTCCATATCAGCAATAAGGCTGTTTTGCTTTCTTATCATTCATGTGCTCACTGGAGTAGCATTTTTAATTTCCTTCAAGAGCTTCTCCTTTGCTTTCTCAACTAAGCTAACTTTGGCTAAGAGGCGTCACGTTCAGCCTGTCTCGGCTTTTGGCCTTCCTCACTAAGCTTTTGATTTGAAGTGAGAGACGTGTGACTCTTCCTTTCACTTGTAGGTTTAGGAGCCATTGTAGGGTTATTAATTCGCCTAATTTCAATATTGTTCTGTCCTAGGGAATAGGGAGGCCCAAGGAGAAGGAGGAGACAGGCAATGGCCAGTTGGTGGAGCCGTCAGAACACGCAACATTTATCAATGAAGTTGGTTATCTTATATGGGCGTGGTTTATGGCACCCCCAAACAGTTACAACAGTAACATCAAAGATCACTGATCATAGGTCACCATAACAAATTTAATAATGATGAAAAAGTTTGAAGTGTTTCAAGAGTTATGCAGAGCCAAGAAATGAGCATATGTTATTGGAAAAATGGTGCTAATAGCCTTGAACAATGCAGGGTTGCCTCAACCTTCAATTTTTAAAAAATGCAGTATCTGCGAAGTGCAATAAAGTGAAGCACAATAAAACAAGGTATGCCTATGTTTACAAATCACACATCTGATAAAGAACTTTTGTCCAGAATATGTAAGGAACTCTCGAAACAATAATAAGAAAATAAACCACCTATTTAAAAAAATCAACAAAATATTTGATCAGATATTAACCGAAGAAGATATACAAATGGCAAATAAGCACATTAAAACAAACATGCTCAACATCGTTAGGGAAATGCAAATTAAAACCACGAGATATCGGGACTTCCCTGGTGGCGCAGTGGTTAGGAATCCGCCTGCCAATGCAGGGGACACGGGTTCGAGCCCTGATCCGGGAAGATCCCACATGCTGCAGAGCAGCTAAGCCCGTGTACCACAACTACTGAGCCTGCATGCCATAACTACTGAAGCCCGTGCGCCTAGACCCCATGCTCCACTGTAAAGAGAAGCCACTGCGATGAGAGGCCGGCGCACCGCAACGAGGAGTAGCCCCCTCTCGTCGCAACTAGAGAAAGCCTGTGCGCAGCAACGAGGACCCAGTGCAGCCCAAAATAAATACATACATACATACATAAAACCATGAGATATCACTACACACCCATTAAAGTAACTAAAATCTTAAAAATTGACCATAATCAAATGTTGGCAAGGATGCAGAACAAGTAGAATTCTCATTCACTGCTGGTAGGAAAGCACAAGGGCACAGCCATTTTAGAGGATAGTTTGTTAGTTTCTTTAAAATTTATGCATGCAGCTGCCAAACAGTCCAAGTACTTCCCTCCTAGGTATTTACCCAAGAGAAGTGGAAGCATATATACATATAAATACTCATATAAGAACGTTCATAGCATCTTTGTATGTAATAGTCAAAAGCTGAAAACAACTCAGATATCCATCAATAGGTGAATGGATAAACACACTGTGATGTGGGATGCTGCTAAGCAGGTAGCCTATCAGATACTTTGCCGTTGCATAATACGGACCACCATCCTTTTAGCTTTCAGCTTTCCATAACAGTGTTCTTATTGCCCACTGCTCATCCCCACATAAGCCAATGTCACATATTTAGGGTTTTTATTGTGTCTTTGGTACTTCAGATACTAATTTCTGTATCAGTCAGAATGGGCCAGGTTATGCTGTGGTAGTAAACAACCCCAAATCTCAGTGGCTTAAAATAAAGTTTTGTCTCTTTGTTGTGAACTGTATGTCCATTGTGGGTTGGCTGAAAGTTTTGTTCTCTGTTCTCACTCTGAGACCGAGGCTGACAGAGGATTCATTATCTGAAACATTGCTGGTTGCTGGGAATGTTGACTTCGTGTAAAGTTGTTTGATTTGTAGGAGTTGAGATAGATTTTTCAAACCAGACTGCTTTTTTATTTTCATCAGCATTAGTTGACTTTTGTCTCATTTTAGGATGCATTAAAATCTTTAAGTAATGACACCGCTAACTATGACTTTCTTTGATCCATAGTATAAAAAGTTATACAAAATACCTTTCAACTTTTATTTATCTAGTAAGCACTTTTTTAGATGGGAGGTATATTCCTGTGTGTCAGACAAGGAACCTGAATGCAGAGAGGGTAAACGAATGGCCGTTGCCACATAGCAGTGAAACTGAACTAGAACCCAGGGTTCCCATTTTAATACTTTCATGCAGATAAGAGAAAAATAAAAGTACCATCTATTTACACATTCTTTATTTTGACAGTCTCTTCAACAGGCCACATTTAAGAGGCGTCTCGTACACTCTGCTGCCGGTGGCTGGGACACAATGGATCACACAGGGGCAGTGGACACCGAGGATGAGTTGGGACCTTTAGCCCATCTTGCTCCAAGCCCTCAAAGTGAAGCCGTTGCCCACGAATTCCAGGAACTCTCCTTGCAGTCCAGTCAGCACCTGCCCCCTCTGAACGAAAGGAAGAATGGTGAGTTCAGCGTGTGTGGTGGGAGCTTACCTCTTTGTGAGCTAAACGTATCCCTCTTTGGTAGTAATTTTTTGGTCTGTTCCATTGGGCAGCCTGTCACGAAGGAGAGAACCTCAGGGGGTGCTGGCTGGTTTTGAGGAACAGGCAGAGTTTCACCATCTATCCAATTCTTTCATTATTTCCCCAATAAGTAGCAAAGTTATCTTTGGAAATAAGCTTTAGGTTCAACCATTTTAGCACAAGCAGAAGATTTCATGCTAGCATGGTACTGGAAAGCAGCTTCCTATGTTGACTCCAGGGAAAATAGATGGTGGATTTGACTAGATTCTCCTACCATGTTCCCCATCTCCAACGTGTTGCACCTTAATTTCAGAATTGGCAAAATTTGAGCTATCTTAATGATCACTAAGAAAGCAAGAATTTCTTGTTTGAGTATTTTTGGTATTAATGAGTATAGGATGTGGCCATATTCTCAGTCTTCGGCTGGCTCATACTTGTATACAAAATGAATATCTTCTGTTCATTTGTTATCTATTCAGGAAATTCTCCTGATTAATCAGAAGCATCCCAGAGTCTCCAGAAAACAGTACTGTCAGTTTTTAACCAAAATGAGTAGAGATAGATGATATACGTCTATTTTTAATACTTAAAACATAAAAACTAACAAAGTATTAAAATTTACAAACACACCAAGCATACATGTTACAGGGAAAGAATTAAGAATTTCAACTGGATTTGCCATGCTTTCCACAGTTCTGATGAGTCTTAACAATCCCAAATGTGTTTTTTTAATTTCAGTTTTAAAAGCCAGAAGAAATAAAACTTTCCCTGTAGAGCACTTCCTTACGTATCTTGTTACTTATCTTCTGGCTTCTAAGTGTTTCCTGATCCTTTTCAAATAATGGCCTTATCTTATTCAGGAAAATGGATTGAAGACTTATGCTGCTATTCTCAGTTCTTCAGTGCATGTCTTTGGGGTGTACTTGTTCTCCCTTCCAACAAGATATCTGACACTTGTGTCTGATGCTTGTTGGGCACAACCCTTGTCCAGTGCGATTGGTATAAAGCAACATCTTGCTCGGAGCTGTCAAAGCCTTCAGGAGGCTGTGTTTGGCTGGTGATGGCTTTAGAACCTTGCATCAGTTAGCAGCCTAGCTTTATCTTAGGCAGTGGCTGAGAGAGTATAACCACATTAACTGAAACATGACTAAATTGGTCAAATTTACACAGTATACTTGGACCAGTATAATATTCAAATTATTTCCCTCAAAAAAAAAAAAAAGACCAAAATAAGAGTTGAACTGGTATAAAATTGCAGTAATATACAGTTGCTCAAGAAAATGGTCATACGTAGCAGAGGAGGGACGTGTAAGGGGAAAGCGTATGCTTTGTGGTAATTTTACTTGATATAGCTTGCCACATTCTCTTGCAAGAATGTTCTTTTGAATATGTATGCCTGAACGTAAGGTAAGCCCAAATATGAGGTAGTCCTCCCCTTATAAACTTTTAGAGGGAGGTAGATGAATGATAAAAATTAGAATTTATTAATTTAGTTACATGTATGTAATTAAAAACCACATATTATGAAGACAGTGCAATAAAATAAAAGGATTGCTTTATCCACACTCATATTTCATAAAATTATCTTGCCCAGACTCTGCCTGTGTATCTGTGTGGTGTTTTTATCATCAGTAGAAAACCTCTGCATCATCCAGCTAGCACTAAAATCCAGGGCGTATCTTCATTTCTGTCTCTCTTGTTTAAGTTACAGCAGTTTTTAGATGCGTGCACGATCTGACACTGAAGATTTTATGTCTAAACCACAAGTACCATTCACAAAACAGTGGGGCTGTTTTTGGTTTTTTGTGTGTCTTACAGTGTGATAGTCATCATCACTCATGTTTGATTTGTGATTGGTCGTAACATTTTATGAGGCTATAATTTCTGTTATAGAATTGAATCACCTTTTTTTTTTTGAATAGGTAATATACTTATCTGGCTTGAAATGTAGCAGGTACAAATGGGCACACAGTGAAAAGTAGGTCACCCTCCCAGTCTTGTCCCTCAGCTACCCAGTTACTTCTCCAGAATTAACTACTCTTACTTGTGTCCTTTCTGAGAGAACAGTATTTGACTACTTTTTTAGTTTAATTTTTTTGTTTGAATTTTTGATTTTATTTAATTTATTTTTTTATACAGCAGGTTCTTATTAGTTATCTATTTTATACATATTAGTGTATATATGTCAATACCACTCTCCCAATTCATCCCAGCACCACCATCCCCCCTCCACTTCCCCCCTTGGTGTCCACACGTTTGTTCTCTACATCTGTGTCTCTATTTCTGACCTGCAAACCGGTTCATCTGTACCATTTTTCTAGGTTCCATATGTATGCGTTAATATATATTTATTTTTCTCTTTCTGACTTGCTTCACTCTGTATGATGGTCTCTAGATCCTTCCACGTCTCTACAAATGACCCAATTTTGTTACTTTTTATGGCTGAGTAATATTCCATTGTATATATGTACCACATCTTCTTTATCCATTCATCTGTCGATGGGCATTTAGGTTGCTTCCATGACCTGGTTATTGTAAATAGTGCTGCAATGAACATTGGGGTGCATGTGTCTTTTTGAATTATGGTTTTCTCTGGGTATATGCCCAGTAGTAGGATTGCTGAGTCATATGGTAATTCTGTTTTTAGTTTTAGGTTTTTTGTGTGTTTTTTTTTGCGGTACATGGGCCTCTCACTGTTGTGACCTCTCCCATTGCAGTGCGCAGGCTCAGCGGCCATGGCTCACAGGCCTAGCCGCTCCGCGGCATGTGGGATCTTCCCAGACCGGGGCACGAACACGTGTCCCCTGCATCGGCAGGAGGACTCTCAACCACTGCGCCACCAGGGAAGCCCTATTTTTAGTTTTTTAAGGAAATCCTATACTGTTAACCTTATGGGAGTTCCCTTTTATATTATTTGTCGTTTTTCCCTTGCTGCTTTCAATAATTTTTCTTTGTCTTTAATTTTTGTCAATTTGATTACTATGTATCTCAGTGTGTTTCTCCTTGGGTTTATCCTGCCTGGGACTCTCTGCACTTCCTGGACTTGGGTGGCTATTTCCTTTCCCATGTTAGGGAAGTTTTCGACTCTGATCTCTTCATATATTTTCTTGGCTCCTTTCTCTCTCTCTTCTCCTTCTGGGACCCCTATAATGCGAATGTTGTTGCGTTTAATGTTGTCCCAGAGGTCTCTTAGGCTGTCTTCATTTCTTTTCATTCTTTTTTCTTTATTCTGTTCCGCAGCCGTGAATTCCACCATTCTGTCTTCCAGGTCACTTATCCGTTCTTCTGCCTCAGTTACTCTGCTATTGATTCCTTCTAGTGTAGTTTTCATTTCAGTTGTTGTATTGTTCATCTCTGTTTGTTTGTTCTTTAATTCTCCTAGGTCTTTGTTAAACATTTCCTGCATCTTCTCGACCTTTGCCTCCTTTCTTTTTCCGAGGTCCTGGATCATCTTCACTGTCATTATTCTGAATTCTTTTTCTGGAAGGTTGCCTATCTCCACTTCATTTAGTTGTTTTTCTGGGGTTTGATCTTGTTCCTTCATCTGGTGCAAAGTCCTCTGCCTTTTCATTTTGTCTGTCTTTCTGTGAAGTGGTTTTCCTTCCACAGGCTGCAGGATTGTAGTTCTTCTTGCTTCTGCTATCTGCCCTCTTGACTACTTTTTTAAAAGCAGTGTTTCAAAATCTTCTTTGTAACAATATCCAACACTTTAAATTTTAAGGTTACTATCTGGGAATAATTGATGTGTTGGTTCTTTTCTTCTTCTTTTTTTCCCCCTTGTTTCTCTTAAGACGTTTCTATAAACATCCTAAAACTAGCTTCGAGTGAGGTTGATTTTTAAGCTAATGCGTTTTCCTCAAGTACCTTTTTGTTCAATATTAAGTAAACAAAAGAGCATCTCATGATACGAGATACTGTGTAAGGACTCAAATATGAGACAGTCTCCTCTTTTCTAATTAGTGACTTCAGGAAGTTAAAAGCCTTACCTTATATTCAGGCATATTACACTTTAATTTCAGGCTTATGATATGTTAGCCTAATTTGTGTATACATTCCAAGGAGTAAATGGAATTGTACAGCTCTCAGAAATCTAGGTTTTTGATACAGGAATGTGAGCGGAGTAGAAAGAACCACATCAAGCCATCTCTAGATGCAAGAACCATAACTTTCTTACCTTAGTGAGTTTTTAATGTTTATTCTTCATCTTTTCAGGTCTTCTTAATGCCATGTTTAAATCATATCATGTACAAAAAGTAGATATTAGCCTCAAAATTAATTAACACAAAGTGCTGTTTAGATATTATGAAATAATTGAACATAGATAGTTTCTTGGTGATTGTGTTTTATTGTTGTTGCTAAGCCTTTGAATTTCACTTATCAGAATTACTTTCTTTTGGGAAGGAAATGAAGATATTTCAATTTGGGATTGGTGTATAGAAGGATTATATCACCAAATAGTTTATAATTAAACTTTACAAGGAAAATGAAGTTGATATTTAAGTACAGTAACAATTCTAGGATCTTCCCTTATTTTTGGTTAATACTTCTATTGGCAGTGGTAGTGGAGTGACAGAGTATTCCCACTGCTGGAGTAAGTATGAAAGATGTTTAGTAAAGATAAGCTAGGGCTTTCCTTTTACCCCTGAACGTGGCCAAAATATTTCTATAGTTAGTGGCACCTCAATAGTAAGGCAACCATTTAGGCAATGGACTCTTCCCAACAAGATAGTCCTTCATAAAGGAAAGTGGGTGTACTTTTACTAAATAATGTACCTTTACTAAAACAATGCATACACAGGAAAATTGAGCTTTGTTTTGACATTTTATGCATGTAACAGATCCATTTTCATGCTTCAACGTTTTAACATTTTCTTAACATTTTCATTATTAACACCGGGAATAAAAGGGAAATCAGTCAAAGGGAGAGTTAGTCCTTTCAT